CCCCCGCCCTCTTCAGTGAACGATCCATTAGAGCAGAAGCCACTGCTTTTAAGTATCTTTTAATCAACTTAGAAGCTTAGAAATTGTATCTGCTTCATATTTGTTTTCAACTTTAGGTCCAGCTCTAAATTGTTCGCTGGTATTAGCCCTCAAAAAATTCAGCAAGTGTTTTATATGGGAAATAGAGGGTAACACCCATGTTGCACAATTGTCCTGCATGATGTGCAGTATGATATGGAAGCACTCTTTTCTTATAAGGGCATATGGCAAACAAGAGATGTCTCTCATGTGACCATGTTTTCATGCAAACCTGAGTCATGTGCAGTGTTCTTCCTGGGGCAGGTCGCACGCTGATTTTCACGACTCACCATCTTGATGAGGCAGAAGTGCTCAGCGATCGTATTGCTATCCTGCAGCATGGGCAGCTGCACTGCTGTGGTTCTCCCTCTTACCTGAAGGAAAAATATGGCCAGGGACACAGCCTAACGCTCATTAAAAAGGTAGGTTGAGGAAACTTCTTACACCCATATGTATTGCCTGCCAAAGAATGGACATGCTTATTCTGAAGGCACCTTCCAATATTGTCAGTAACTTTTATATGCAGGATAAATGTCATGATTCTTATTTCTTATGTAAAACTGACAGCACTGCAAGGGATGCTGTTGGGTTTTTGTTTTTGTTTTTTGTTTGTTTTTTTGTTTTTGTAGCTTTTGTTCCACGGCTATTTTATCTTGCATTGTTTTATCTTATTGAGTAACTCAGTGATAATTTGGTAGAGTTGAGGTGAAGTTGTTGCCATGATGGTCCAGGAGATATGTTAGAAGCAAGAATTCTTTCAAAGTATTTTTCTACCCAGCAGGATAGACATAGGCAAGCTTTTAGGTATCATAGTACCCTTCCTCAGGCTCTGAGGTAGAAGTAGACACAGCTGAGCTAAACAGCAGATTGAACAAAAGCTTGTTAAGTAGGGTTTTTATGGTAAGGATATGACCCTACTTAACAAACTTTTGCTCAATGTGTATTTAGGTCAACTGTGTCTACTTCCGTCTCAGAGACCTGGGGAAGGATACTGTGATACCTGAGTGTTTGCCTGTGTTTGTATCAACCATTCAGTGGGTGATACTTTTACCCACAGTTTATCCAGGATAAACTGTGGGTAAAAGTATCACCCACAGGAATTCTTGCTTCTCAGTGAAAAAGCTGTAATTTCATATTTTGCTGAATAGAAGAGGAGACACTGCTGACAAAATTGGGCTCCAGAGCTTCAGTGGAAATGCTCTCATAAGAAAGTGTTTCCCGTGTTGGGTCCTATATTTGTTTGCAGTCTGTCCTTTATTACCACCTTCTGGTGGCATTAAGCTCCATTTACTGTTGTATTTCCCTTCTACATAGCCCTCCATGTTTGAAATCCAGGATCCCAAGGATACCGCCCGAGTTACATCTCTGGTGCAGTCCCATCTACCAGAAGCATTCCTGAAAGAGAACACTGGGAGTGAGCTGACTTACCTGATTCCAGAGGTGGCAGACAAGGCCTCCTTTAAAGGTCTTTTTCAGGCTTTGGATGAAAACCTTCTACATCTACATGTGACTGGCTATGGCATTTCAGACACTACCTTGGAGGAGGTATTTTTGAGTCCCCTGCACATTTAGCTTCTAGTTGTTACTAAGTGGTAACTGTCTTTTTTCTAGCCTTCTTGGCCCCATATGAATCAACTCATATTTCAGGACAGGTTTTTGTGAGAAACAGGAAAGAACATCTTGTACAGAATATATATTTTAAAAGTTGTTGTATTATTAATTTGCAGCAACTGCTCTACACTTTAAACTGCTCTGCTGTCCAGAAGGCCTGATATAAGCTTCAAAGATGATATCATCTTCTGGAAGACTTGTTTTGGTTTTGGGAAATTTTTATAGGATAGTGACTTATCCTAAAATCCCTGTCACCCAAAATCACTAATGATCAGCATCTGCAAACTTGCACCTTGATTATAGTGGTGGATGAAGCTGGAAAGATTGCTCCATACAGGTCTCCAAAGTTTAGCGTGTGTTCTCCGAATCCTGACTGAAATGACCAGACTTCAGGAATTTGCAGAAGTGAGCTGATAAGGTCACAAGAATGGTCATTCTCTCAGATTTACTTGTGGGGTTTTTTTGTATAACTTAGTCAAATTTATTACAGAAACAGCCATTTGCAAGGTCTCTACCACTTCTGATTTCAACATTCATACTTCTCAGTGGGTTATACCGGGCCTGAATAATTTTTATCCCAACAATATCCATTCATCATGAAATTCTCTAACCTACCTTTACTTAAGCAATGGACTCTAAATGCTTTTTTAAAAATATCAGTTTTTCACTCTTCAAATAATGATACAAGAATACAACTAGGATTTTTCAACAGATGAGAGACAATTTCATTTGATGCCTGATCCACTCAGGAGTACTTCATAAAACTGCTTTCCCCAGATAGACAGAGGAGTGAACCACATCCAAAAAGAGCATTTAAAGTGTGGCAGAGAATAAAACTCATAACAAGCTTATAAAATGCACATTTTGGGTTAGTAGTTCTTTGTGTAGTGTAACATACCTGTAACAGACCTTTGTGTTAAAAGTATTAAATATTTTATGCAGTACCTCCTTATCCCCATTCTCCCCTTTTCCGCTCACCCTCCCAACCCCTTCCCTGACTCTCCCCCCCCTCCCCCCCTCCCCCCCCCCCCCCCCAAATCAACCTTGTATGGTTATAAGAAGGCAGAACTGGTCCACATGAGTCATGGGCTAGGAACAGACATTCAAAAAGCCTGAGCCTGGATTAATTCAATCTTTGCAAGTTAGTCTAACCTGGCTAGGCTGGACTGGTTTGTAACTGGACAGGTATTCTCTCTGAACTGAGGACATTCAGACACATGCCTGCAGTGGCTCAGGCTAGAAGCCGGGGGTTGCTAGAGCAGCCCTCTTTTCCCTTGCATAGTGCTGAGCTGAGTGAGGGGGCGTGGCCAGGCCCTGGCAGGACCTCTGATTAGAGAGGTCTGCCTGTACTATCCCAGGCTTTTCTCTGCTGGCTGCTCAAGGGGCAAGAGTCTTGCCAGCCCCCAGCTAGAACTCTGAGGCAAGGGGAGGTGTGTAGTGCATGCATCTGTTGATGATACGGAGCTTTTCAATCTCCCTCTCCCTGCCTCTTTATAATGTCTGCAGCAAACTAACAGGAAGCAAGTCAGCATAGGGCTGATAAGTGTTTATCACCCCATCAGGAAAACAATAGCCTTTCTCCATTAGTTCAAACTCTTCTTAAGCAGTTTGCCAGCTGACTTGTTGATTAGCTTCAAAAGTCCTACGCAGTGTTACCAGATTTGCCCATTACTTTGGGGTGTGCTCATTTATTAGGGATATGTTTATAGGGTCTTGGTAATTCTGTCAATGTGCTGCTTGTGTTACTTGTGTTTCTATACGGAGCTGTATATCTCCCTTCTGCAAGTCCTCACCCTCCAGTGGAGCTATCTTGCAGGACTCAGTCTCAATGGGGCTGGGTTCCTCCAGTCACAAATCAGTCATACACACAAACACACACAAATTAATGTGACATGCCTGACTCGGCTGGGTTGATCAGCCTGGACAGGCTGATACCCTCATATGCCAAGAATCAGTTCATCAGAGCAACAATAAACTGCAGTCAGACACAAGCACACAGATGAACAGAATCCCTCTGAATCTGGCTGGGTGTCCAGCTGACACCCTCATGGGCCAGCATTCAGTTCATAAGGGCATGTCTGAGTCAA